CGTTCAAAAATGTAAACCAATATTCATTGTCGACAAAACCATTCTGCTCTTGGTGTCATTGACGTTGTATAAAATCTTAAGACTTAAAATCAACCACAAGGTGGTGAAGCAAATGAAGATGTCATATGACGACAAAATATATAGACATTTCTCTCATGGCAAAGATGAGACAAGTTTTTAAATATTTACAATAGCCGATAAACAAAAAGGTTTGGGAAACCACTCCCCCGAAGAAATGAAAAACAACCCCGACTTAGAGAAAGACTATATATTTAATAGTTTAGTCAAAGCAGACAAACAAGAAAGAATGCCAGGCTTCAAACTTTCAGAAAGGTGACAAAGTAAAAATAGAAATACCTAAACGCGACCCATATTGAAAATACTATTGACTATGACACAATGGGAACTCGACAGGTACTCACATTCGTGTTCGTAAAAATAGAAGAAAGTATACAGAGAATATTATGAGTTTTAGGCAACATGGCAAAATGTACAGACTGCAAGCAGAAGATAAACTACTATTTGTCAGACCTCGTTTCAAACTTGTCAAAGTTCAAGGTGGTATACTTTCAAAGACAGTTCCTAACAAATATAGACAACTCCTGACGAATATGCTAAAGAAGTTGAAAATGACGACTAAGCATTTCTATACCATTGCGTAAACTGTCATGTAGGTGGCATGTAGTCTTTACTTTGTCCGTTGTTTGCGTATACCTGAAACGCGATGTGTATGGTTTCCTTCTCCCTGTGTGTTACCCAGAAACAATTTATAGCCAAACTGAACGTTGTCTTTAACATCATATCCTTTACCTTTTTCATTGCTGACCAATCCCAAAATCTATGTTTATGCCAACCTGCTTCAGCTGTACTTACAATCTTTGTAGTGACTGTGTGCAGGTAAGTTTTCACCTGAAATCGTTTACTTCCACCTTGTTTCCTTGAAGAGTTTGCACATACAAAACTGTCGACTATTTGAGTCCAAGTTCCAAAACCAAGTCACTACTTTGTCTGGTAGAGTTTCATTGACGTGTAATAGAACCTATAGATAACTGTTTGAAGTATTTCTGTCTTTAACGTTTGAAGCTCTGTTTTGTCAGCTTTTTTAACTAACTCATCGTTAAATATGTTTTTGTCAGCTTTTTTATCTAACTCAACGTTAACATATGTTTTGTCAGCTTTTCGTTGTCATATAATCTTGAGCAGTGAATTTAACTTTGTTTTCATCCTCCATGACATAGACAATTTCTACATCTAGTGTATATTTCATCGTCGTTTGTCTTCATCCGATGTTAAACCTTGTGGAAAGTTAGCGAGGTTTCCAAGTAGTACATCCCACCAGTTCCATCAAGGTTCTTCAACCGTTTTCCTGCAAATATTTTCTATACCAACAGTTGCGAAGAAAATCCTGTGTATGAGTCTTTTAGAATATTCTTTGTCAGCTCTTGTCACTTCACTTGACATTTTATGTCAACATTGTTTTATCCGCTTGTCATGCTAAATTGGCTGTAGTTCATCTACGTCATTAGATTGTTATGTGCTATGGTGTTTGTGGTATGTTCTATCTGTCCATGCAAGAATATAGTCTCTTGTTGCATCTACATACTCTTTGTCAGCTTTGTTGTCAATATCTGCCTTCAAAAGAAGTTTCATCTATAGGTTTCTCGTTTAAAGTTCTTTTTGTTGGATTTATTACAAACAGTTATGGTTCTTACTGTCTTGAAAATAGAAACTCGTCTGTCTTGGGTTAATGTCAGTTTTAAGTTTCCTTCTTTCAATGACTCAAGATATCTTAGATAGTTTGAAAGTTTGTTGTGTTCTTATTTAGAGCTTGTATATAATGGTTGCCGGTTGTGTTGTATTTCTCTTCATAGACGCTGTTTCATTTGACATTTTTATTTCTAGATAAAATATGCTTGTTCAATAGAAAAAGAAAATTCTAGAGGTTGCTACAACTAAACCATTAGATGAACTTTTTACAATGTCGTGTCAAAAGTTTGAGACAGAGACCCGTAAAGCATGAAGGCTATCGTTTTGACTACCCGTAAGATGGTTAAGAGACCATCTGTCACAAAAGCTATTGGCTTTCGTAGAATGAAGTTCATTTCAAAGCCATACTATGGTTTCCCATTTACGGTCGGTTTTGAAGTTCGATACTATAAAAAAGAAAAACGTATGTATGAGAAATTTGAACAGGGAAAACTTTTACAAGTTTAGTTTGCTTGTTAAACTTAGAAACAACTCTTCAAGCTTTTCAAGAAAAAATAACGATATCTTATATCGAATATGCAAACCGTATACATTGACGAGGGAGAGTACCATCTCGATATTATTTATGACATGGAAAATGCAACTGTTAAAATCAATAGAATAGAAGACCTTGGAGAGCAACGTTTATATTTCTACAAATATAACAACTTGGCATGGTATAGATTTTTGAGGAATGTTAATCAGCCTGCAGAATATCCAGTACACCCGAACTTTTATGAAGTCGAAAACCTAATGGAACATATGAAAATGTTTTCGACTCAGATGCTAATTATGTTCATGCTCATTTTCTGGCGCACAAAACTCTTTTTTATGCTTGGAAATGACTTTTACGAAAAACCTACAAAGCTATATGACCACCAAGTGGAAGTATTTTCAGACTTTCAAGTATGGTTTACTACAGATGGAAGAAAGAGAATAATTTCCATTCATACCACGCGTTTTACTTAGAAGCTTAGTATTCATATACAACTACATCGAAGGTAAAAATAATAATTTTTTAAATACGGTTCTGAGGTGTTGGATTTGTTGCCAACTTGACCTGTGGGTCAGGTTCCGGCTGTTTGTATAACAGAGCTTGGTTCTTCTGTTCAGGGTCTTTAGGTATATATACGCAACGAACTGACCTACTCTTTTACAATATTTTGACTCTCGGTTCCAAATTCCTCTTTCCGACAGATCTTTATCATATCCATACTACTCTTCCAACTCTTCTGAAGAAGTTTCCAATAACTACTGAAGAAACCCATTTTCACTATATGTAAAAATCTAATGTCCGCCTGTCTTTTCGTTTCCTGTGAGTTCATACGCATCTTTAACTGATCTCATACATTCTGTTTCTCCTCGGTAAGAAGAACTATTTTGGGTCAACTCCTGTGTTCGCGTCATCTGCATAAAGTTGTTTATATACGCACTTCAGGGTTTTTATAAAAGAAACTCTTTTTCCCAATTCTTTCTTCATATTTGCATACCATGGTGGCAAACCTAACGCAGCGTCATTTGACATGTGCAGTTGCATTTGTACATCTGTTGGCACTTGAACCATAGTTTGCATTGCAGTTTGTATTCTAACTTCACTTTGGACTATTCTCTTGGTTGGTTGTCCAGGTTGCTGTCATTTCGCTAAGTTTGTGCGTCCCATTTTTAATATTAGATAAAAATATCTCTTTACGAGTACATAACTGGAGCAATTTGCAGGCATTGGCGTTCATCTTCGATTCTCTAATATCTTTCTGCCACGCTCAAATAAGTGAAATGAACCAATGGAAAAACTTAAAAAAGTTATCAGTCCTATTATCAAACCACATTTACTTACCAATAAAATTTCTTTGTTATGAAATTTCTCCAGTTTTATAGGGACCTCTCTCATATTCTATATTATCGTATCTAAACTCATAGTCATGTATGTCCTCAACCATGCTCATGACACTTTCCAAACCCACTTTTATCGATGTAAAGTTAAAAGCAATGGATGGTATGTAAACGTCTAAGAGTTTCCTAAAAGAGTCTCTCAAAGTACCATCTTACTTGGTATTGAAAATCCCAGTGTTATAGAACGGCGGGAGTCCACTATAAAGAAAACATTTTCCTTGTCTTATATTTTTCATACAAATCTGATCAATGACATCTCAAAATCTATACCCTCATCATATATTTTTCTCTGTCCTCTTTAAACAGTTGGTAAGTTAAGATATAAAACTTGACTAAGTGTTTCAATGTCATGAACTCTATAGCACCACTATATAATTAGTCTAGCATGATATACATATCCCCAGTCAAAATATATTCTGCTTTTTTCAAAAACCTCTCTCACAATACTTTTTCTTATCTAAATGGTATACTTCCAAATCTTACCTATAGGTATCTTTTACTTTTAACTCTTTCATATTGTTGTTAGATGGTCTGGGTATATGTTTGAACGGTTCATATAGTTGTCGAAGTCCATTGATAATAATCTTTGAGTCTGGGAATATTGTATGACAATAATGGAGATATATAGAAATTCCACCGAACAACGTCTACAAATTGTATAGACCATTTCTGGTAGTTTTCTTAAGTTCCTCACTCAATAGAATATCTTTACCATCTACTGCTTATTTCCACAAGAAGGGTAGCGGTGGTTGTAAAATTCATTTTATATATATATAAAAATGTTTTTACCTGAAAAAGTGACAGAAAAAGTGACCAAAAACATGAAAACATATATATTTTGTGAAAAGGTCCTGGAAGACCGTAAATAAGACTTTCATTTATACTAAACATCTTCAGGGCTAAGGGCGCAGCCCTGGAAGCCCACTGCTTTTTTTTTTTTTTATTTTTTTTTTTTTTTTTTTACTTAGAAGAGACATTAATGAAGTATATGGTTCAAAAATCCCAAACCTTTAATTTTTAATAGTGCAGCATAATCAAATGTTAAAGACCACATGTGGAATCTACCCCATCTCATCTGCAACATCGTTATAATAACAAACAAAACGGCAGAAATTCCTTATTTCAAACAAGAACAAAATAAAGAGTTTTTCATAAAAGAATTATAAAAAAATTGATTTTAAAGTTTTGCTAGGCTGAGAAGACACGGTTATATATTTCTCAAACAAATGTAAAGAGCAACATCGAGTGGTGTTGCCTTGTCTTGGACAACGATTCAATACTGTCTAAATTATGATTTGTAATCTTCAAACTCTAATTTCATTTGAAACAATAATTTTATACATAGGTATCGTAAAGAAAAAAGTTTCGGATACGGGGAGTCAACCCAGATCCTGTGGATGAAACAACATATATAAACCGCTGAACGAAACTTGGATGTATATAATTTAATTTTTTCCATTTGTTTTTATGTTTAATATCAATATATAAAATTATCCTCTGAACGGCTCATTCGTAACAATAAGAATGGATGACAACATGTTTATTTTTGTTATAGACCGAAAATAGATTTTTTTTTCGGGTTTTTCCTTTCATAATTGAAAGAATGATACTATTATAGGTTTATTATATTATATAGCATGATATCATGCTATACCGAAATATTATATGTTTTTGAGAAGTTGAATATAACAACAAATAAATTTGAATGTAAGTTAAATTGCTTGTTGTTTTTAATAGCTATTTTAATGAGATCCAATATTGCAAAATTCAAATTGAATGATTGAAAGAACAGAAAAAGTCATTTCTTTTCATTTCGAAATATGTTTTCATTGTATTTTAATTATTAATGGCAAATAGATATTAAACTTGATTTTTTGAAGGAGAAATCACAAAATTGAATAAATTCAAATACTTTTATTCATAAACTAGTATTTGAGTTTTAATAACTTAATTATCCATTCAACACTACAAATTTGTAATTTAAAATATTTTGTGAAGATCAGATTGAATTAATTCAAAGGTTCTTTTTCAATTAATATTAATGACCATATTAACGCTTTTCGGAACATTCTAAACCAAAATATATAAAAAATGGAGACGATGTAAATTTAGCTAGACATAGGGAGTGATCTGCAAAGTTTTATGCTCTATCTCTAACTAAAAAATTAATTTTTAAAAAAATGACGAATACGTTTCACAGCGGAAAAAAAATAAAAGGCAAGAATAGAATTACTTTCTAGACATAAAGAATTTGTTTACGAGTTTTTAGCTCTTATCTCTAAACCAAAAATTAATTTTTAAAAAAAAAGACCGAACTACGTTTTTCACAAGCGAAGATAAAAAATAAAAGGCAAGATAAGAATTTTCTAGACATAAAGAGTTGTTTACCGATTTTAGCTTCTTATCTCTAACAAAAATTAATTTTTAAAAAAAAGACCGAATCGTTTCACAGCGACGAAAAAAATAAAAGGCAAGAAGAATTTTCTAGACATAAAGAGTTGTTATTACCGAGGTTTATAGCTCTTATCTCTAACAAAAAATAATTTTATAAAAAAGACCAATGCGTTTCACAGCGAGAATAAAAAATAAAAGGCAAGATAGAATTTTCTAGACATAAAGAATTGTTTACCGAGTTTAGCTTCTTATCTCTAACAAAAAAATTAATTTTTTAAAAAAAAAGACCGAATAGCGTTTCACAGCGAGAAAAAAATAAAAGGCAAGATAGAATTTTCATAGACATAAAGAAGTTTTTACGAGTTTTAGCTCTTATCTCTAACAAAAGATTTAATTTTTAAAAAAAGACCGAATACGTTTCACAGCGAGAAAAAATAAAAGGCAAGAATAGAATTTCTAGACATAGGGGGTTGTCTGCAAAGTTTAAGCTCTTATCTCTAACAAAAAATTAATTTTTTAAAAAAATGACCTGAGATACGTTTCACAGCGAAGGAAAAAATAAAAGGCAAAAGATAGAATTTTCTAGACATAAAGAAGTTGTTTACCGAGTTTTAGCTTTATCTCTAACAAAAAATTAATTTTTAAAAAAAAGACCGAATACGTCACAGCGAGAGAAAAAAAAAGGCAAGATAGAATTTTCTAGACATAAAGAATTGGTTTACCGAAGTTTTAGCTCTTATCTCTAACAAAAAATATAATAAAAATTCTTTTTAAAAAAAAGACCCGAAATAACGTTTCCACAGGGTCTAGCAAGAAAAATAAAAGGCAAGTTAGAATTTTCTAGACATAAAGACAGTTGTTTACCGAGTTTTAGCTTCTTGATCTCCAACAAAAATTAAATTTTTAAAAAAAAAAGACCGAATACGGTTTCACAGCGAGAAAAAAAATAAAAAGGCAAATGATATAGATTCTAAGACATTAAAGAAGTTGTTTACCCCGGAGCTTTTAGCTCTTATCTCTAAACAAAAATTAATTTTTAAAAAAAAAGACCGAAATACGTTTCACAGCGAGAAAAAATAAATAAGGCACAGATAGGAATTTTCTAGACAATTAAAGAGTTGTTTACCGAGTTTTAGTCTTATCTTCTAACAAAAAATTAATTTTTAAAAAAAAAGACGCAATACGTTTCACAAGCAGAGAAAAAAAAAAAGGCAAGATAGAATTTTCATAGACATAAAGAAGTTGTTTACACGTTTAGCTCTTATCTCTAACAACAAAAATTATTTTTTAAAAAAATGACCGGAATAACGTTTCACAAGCGAGAAAAAAATAAATTTACACTGATTTAATTTTCAATTTCCATGTCACTTTACTTATTTTTTTTTTATTTTTTTCAATTTTAATTATCAATTTTTTAATAATACGTTATTTAACGTTTTACCATTTTCTTTATTCTTTTGAAATTCCTCATAACACACTTAATAGAATATTTTGATTGTTAACGACTTCATTAGAATGAAATCTTACAAAAGGTATTGTCGATCGAATTTACCTATTGGTATTTCCAATCAGATTGAAAAAGGTAAAATGAATGGGAGAAGCTTGACCCATTGTTCCCATGCCCCCCAACCTTTCAATCAAATGATTTCAAATAATTTAGTTTTTCAAATCTTTTTAACAAAATCAAGTTAGCTTACAGCGAATATCCATTGCCTAAAAGCGAAGAAAGGTCGTAGGGTCAAGCCCTACGACCAAATCAAAAGCTTTGCTGTGATACATGGACCATGGGCTTTCCGTGTGGTCATAACAAACAATGGAAACTTTGAATTTACAACAAATGATGTATCCTTATAGAGACAGAGATATGTAGTTTGTCAGAACGTCAGATTCTGCATATGAAATACAGAATATTTTGACGACTTAGCAGGAAACTTTGACATCTGCTTTACAAACCACTTTCTCTATTTCATGAATTAGATATTTCCAAGTTCAATCCAAGACAAATTCCACATACCGAAGAGAGACACATTTAGAAGCAAACAAGAGTGTATATGAACTTGATTCTAGATGAAACTACTTTGAGTGTTTATGATGAAAGGTCATTGTACGATGATATAAAAATATTGTCAAGAGTATGGTTATTTATGCAGCGTTCTAACGTAACATTCTTGGCAAATGTCAAAACTTTTAGATGTTCAGAACGGCCGTATTACAAAGAAAAATTTTTCTGAGGAAATTTTAAAAAAAAATATTGTTTTATTCCGATAGAAAGATGGCAGAAAAAAATAACTTTTTACATAGCGCAGACCCTTCTTGCCCACATCTTTTTAAGCCACAATATATTAGACATGGACTAAATAGAGAAAGCAAAATTCTACAAACAGACAGAAACATATAAGACCAGAGTAACGAAGATGGATATGCGCTATTCTGTAGATTGTCCTTATGAAATGTATTGAAAAAAAGGCTTTATTTGAAGGAATATAGAAAATAATTGTCATTGAAACGATTATAAGACCAAGCTCCGAGAGAAATTCTATGCTGCTATAAACATCTTTCAAAGTTCGAATGGCAATATAGAAAGAATAATTTTTCTGGATAAATTTTTAAAAAAAAATATTTTTTATCCGATAGAAAAAGATGACGAAATATATTCAGTCAACAAGTACATGACAGAAGTCAAAAGAAGAAATAGACCCCATTCCGCCTTATTGGAATGTTTGACTTCTAACATTTTTGAAAAGTCTACCATTTGACCCAAAGTTTGGAACCATTGCACCAGTTAAGTTTGCCTGTTGTTAGAAAAAGTGGCTGCCACTTTGAAGCTAGAACCATAGAAGGTTTGTTAGCAGTCAAAAAGATTGAAGAAGGTTCTACTGAGAGAGGCTAGATGCTGCTCCCGTCCACATAGGCGGTTGATGCGTGTCAGTTGTTGGTGGCGCGCTTCTAGGGCGGCGGTGTCGTGTTGCGGTTTGCGTTTTTCGTCACTTTTCGGTTCTCTGACTTTACCTCACTTGCAGGTATGGTTGTTCGTTAACATCTTCATAAATATCATATGCCATTTGTTTTTGTTTTCCTTTCAACTTTTTGTGTTGTTGTGTAAAGTTTAGAATATTTCGACTCTAAGTCAATGAGATGTTCTATAATGAACTGTTGGTCAGTGAAGTAAACTTTTTCCATCTGTTGTCTCGAAAGCTCCTTCAGACTTCAATATTTTATTTGTGAGAGTCTGTTTCTTTTTTGAGATACTAGCCGTTCCATTTCTATGAAAAGTGACTTTATAGTTAGGGTTTGTATTTCCAGACCTGGCACTTTCTAATTTGAATTTTTCTCCCATCTGTAAGTTCTTTGACAGGTTTTGACAATGGTTCTGAACTTTTGTTTTGTGGTGTCAAATCTACCGTTTCAACTTCTTCGGTCATTTCATCTCAGTAAAAAATTTTAGTTTGGTTTGTTTTCAACTGGTTGTTGTTGTTTTTTAAGTCGGTCTAAAACTTCTTGAGGTATAGGAAGAACTTGACAAACACTGGTTGTGTAACGCTGGAAGCCGACAAATCCATCTTGAACCCATTTGTCTCAATGCTGTATTGTTCATTTCATCTCAGTAAAAAACTTTACATTCCCACGTTTGAGCGCGTTGCGGTTGGTTATTGTTTACCCACTGTTGTGCATGGTTATATCCTCTGTTAAAGAATCTTTCACCTTGGTCCATATAGTTGTCCTGCTTGGTTATAGTAGTCATTTGCTTTGTTATAGTAGTTTCCTGCTTTTCTTCCTACATTGTCCATCCATCCTTGAACTTTTCCTCTTGTTTCAGGATTTGGAATAAGATTTGCTGCATCTCGTGCTACCTCCCAACCTTTCTGTACGGTTTGTATAATAGGTTGCGCTTTCCTTTCAAGTATACCTAATGTACTCAAAATCTTCCTTCCAATTCCAAATGCACCTCTAGCTATTGTTCCCACTGCGGGAAAAATCTGGATGCAACTCCTGCTAATGCGCCAATAAAACCCATTTCTTATGGTTAAAAATGACG